CATCGTGCTGGCTGCCGATCCTGCCCGCTGGCAGCGCTCAGGCCCTAGGGATGCACTGGCCCTGCTTCTGCCCAAGCAGAGACCAGTTACTTGGTATTACTGGGCACTAGCTGGGCACTTGGAGGCTGAGCATCATCATCTAAGTATCTCCAAAGGGTCATGAGCATCATTAGCCAGCTGGGTTAACGAAGGCCCAGGGGCGGAGGAGGGGATGATTGGCTAAAGGAGCTGAGCCCAGCCCTCGTGGCCTGGCCACTGCTCATGGGGACACCCAGCTGCGTCCCCAGCCTCACGTACGAGCAGCCCGTCACGTGCTCTCGCTGGCGGGGGGCAGCTTGTGGGGCTCAGCCGTCAGCACCACCAGGTCGTCGATGATGCCTTGCAGGTGCGTGATCTCTCCCAGCATGGTGATCTCCCCGTTCTGGAGGCAGCAGGAGGTGTCAGCACCCTGCCCTCGGGTGGCAAACGCCTTCCGGCTCCGCTCCGCTCGCCTTGGAAAACCCTCAGCCCCAGCGCCCCACAGCCGGTAGGACACCCCGGTAGCGCCCCACGCTCCCCACTCCGAGGGCACAGATGGGATCTCCATGCCTTTGGGTGTATTTTTGGGGGTCCCCTGCAACTCCCAGAGCTCAACTGAGTCAGACCAGCATAGAGACGAGCTGGGGCCGTCCTTGTGTCCTTGGCCAGGCTCGGAGACCGGGGCCGAGGCTGCACAGTCGGGACGTGTCCCCATCCGGAAAGCCCCGGCCGCGGTGCCCCAGCCCTGGCACTTACCACCACGGGCTGCAGGAAGGTGATGAAGGTGCAGAAGCGGCCCCGCTCCTCAATGAGGGCCTTGCGCACCGCCTGCTTCTCCGTCTCCTCCAGCAGCAGGTACATGTCGTTGACGTCCTGCAGCGCGTTGTCCAGCTGGGGCTGAAGGTCCCCCTTCCCTGCCAGCAGAGAGAGGCGCAGAGCCATCAGCGCCGGGGTGCCGTGGCCCCCGCGACTGGCTCCGGGCTGAGCTCTGCCTGCCGGGCGCCCTGGGAAAGGCATGGGCA